ATAAGAACCACAAGGTAAGACAAACGCCTCAATAACCGACATTTCAACTTATCATACATATTAGTATGTGCTCGTGAGATGTTAAGTGCGATAAATAGAAGAAAAGTCACAAAAGTATTAATTCAATAGTTTTCATAGCTCATTAGATTGTAAAATACCATGCAACCTCCCATCAGGCCATCCGAACCGCCTTATGCCCTCTTACATATCTATCCATGTTACTCGCCACTCAAAAGCTCATTGGACATGTGATGATGGCCGGTCAAAATCCCTCGAGCGCATGATCGAACCATGGGTCTTTCCCTCATCATATAGATGGGGTGTCGTAGCCCCCTGTTGAACCAGTGGGACAATTGCTTGTTGAACTAGTAGGACAGAAAGTGAGCCAATTATTATATACCAATGAAGGTCTTACTGCGTGGTAGGATATCTAACCCATTGCCAATCTAAACCAATCATTTCAACATATACATCATTGGGGTTTTACAAAATAATCAAAGTCATTAAATTTATGCGATGCACATCAATAGGATTAAAATCCTAGATAATGCTTTCACAATTCAATAAACAATTCTCACAAGGCAAGTTCTATTAAATGACCATTTTTATAACATTATATCATTTTTCAAATCATATAAATATACACATTTTATAATTTCTCACAAACACACATTAACATACATAATAAGTGAAAAGTGGTTACTTCTCGCTAAAATAAGAAGAAGAATATACCACAATAACCCCGGGTTGAGCCACAAATTCACAAGCAGTCTACACAAATTATGAATACCAATCAATACCAAAAACCACGAAAGTGGTTTAGTATAACAAGTAGTAAATGTCCCAAATCTCTAGGTACCCAAAACTTAATGAAACCATAAATCAACCCATTCAACACTATATTTAGTGTCACAATGACTCAATTAACTTATCTAAACCATTCCTTAATCTCAACTCACACAATTCAATCAAAAACCCCAATTTCACACTTAGTCTTCAACCTCAAAATACCCATTTGAGCAATTCAACCTCTATCAATAATCTAAATTGATTAAACATTAATTCTAACTCATATTAGCATAACCTAATCACGAAAACTTATTTCCAATCTCCACGTTAACATTAACCATCAAAATCCTCAAGAAATACCAAATCCTAAGGTCAAAAATCTCTAAAACTCCAAATACAAGAAATCTAAGCTGGTTAAACACTTAATCTAACCCATATAACTCATTTAAACTTAGATTAATGATCAAAACTTCAGCCATTTTGAAATCCTTAAGAAACCCCAAAATCCAACTACTTCAAAATCTAGAAATCTAAGAGAAATTGATAGAAATCAAGTCTAAGAAGCTTACTTGAGTGTTAAGAGCTTGAAAACACTTTCAATGGGTTGAAAACACTTGCCCTAGTAGAGCCCAGTTGTTCTTCTTTCTCCCCCCTTTTGTTTTTCACATCTGAAATTTGATTTAAGAAGATAGATTTCAATGCATTTGCTACAGCAAACATTTAGCGAACGTACTTTGCGTTGTTTGCTATAGCAAACATTTAGCAAAAGACACAGTGAGCACTCTGTGTTGTTGGTTATGGCAAACATCTAGCAAATGTCTAAATAGAAACATAAAGCAAGAGGGTCCAATTTAAAAAATTCATAACTAACTCCATAGATATCTAAAAACTACAAAATAAGCCTCTTTAAAAAGTTTGGGATGTCTATTTTCCAATGCAGGAGTGATTGCTCAAAAGTTCATTTGACCTTTGAAAATACCCAAATTACAAGGCCACAAATTATAATATCTAGAGATAAGACCTCCAACTATAAATCTTAGTATTTCTAAGCCTTCTACTTTCAATTACTTAATATCTAGCTTCTTTTTCTTAGCAAAAGCTTAACTCTAAATCTCAGATTAAAACTTAGGATGTTATAGTTGGTGGAACAAACTCACCAAGTCAATATGCTTAGTACAGTACGTAGACATGGAGAACTATGCCTTGCCATTTTATAATTCAGAATGATCAAAGGCATAACCATAAGGTCCACACACAGGCAAGGGGTCCATTGCTGCCTTACAGGACACAATCATAAACATAATCCGTCCTCAAGCAACCCCACTTCAATATATATTCATTTCTGTTAATCATACATATACAGCTCCGGTCAAAAAAAAAAAATCATACATATACAGCTATTCACAAGCATCTCCATGATCACCAAAGCAATATATATATATATATATATATATATATATATATATATCTCCATTTATCAATCTCTCAAGTCTCAAGTCACAACCATTTCAATATTAGCCGCAGTATATATATTCACTGATCTTGTCACCCCTTCAGAATTATATGCTACCAGCTAGACAGGTGTATATATACACGTATGCTTTGAGAGAAGAATAAATTTCACAGTTTATTATATATATGCATATATATGATAAAGTAATGTTAAAATAACTTTGATGACCTCAACCTTTTATAGCAAGTCACCGCCTTGAAAAGTCGCTTTAGTCTGATATGTGTTCAAGTAACAAAATTTATCTAATTTCCTCAAGTCGCAAACATAAGGTTGGAAGTGGCAGTTAGCCACAAATTAATAACCTCCTATATATCCCCATTCCTTCCTACACATATACCCCTCACATTTCATTATGTCAAAACCAAGTTTGTGATCCGGCGCTAGCAGCTGGGCCGCAATTTCCTTCTATATCTGAAATTTAAATAATAGATTTCCTGTTCGCCATGATTGTAAATTCGAGTCGTCATGACATAGCCTGCTGGACAATTTTTTAAGAGCAAGCATCGCAGCTAGAATTTCCTAATTAGTTCCAAACACCCACAAATTCTCAGAATGAATAATTCAAGCCATGCATTGATTAACCATGCACTAAAACTGTGAGGGATGTTACAATGGCTTTTTACTTTTGGTTTCACGCACTTTTTTGTAAGGGGAAAAAGGATTTACAATGAATGTACAGCAGAAGAGGGTGGTTGTCATTTCTGTCATGATGAGCTTCGTCTTCTGCAGTAGGCGGGCGTTTAAACCATCCTTGAGCAAGCACACATGTATACATATATAATGGCATTCTTATTGTGAGGCTTGTTTGAACGTTCCTTTATAGCCACAGGGACCTTCCTTCCCCTTGATAATCTCATATGGCCCTCACTAGTTATGTCAAGTTTCATGCCATAATCTTTCTTTTCTAAAACTCTCTGTCCAGTTCATTAGGGTATCCGTATCAGAGGTTTCACATTTAGGGACAAATGGATTGACAAAATTAAAGCATAGAGATCTGTACATGCACGGTGCACTACTAACATCTATGAATTGGCCAAAACCATCCAAAAGCATCACGAACCTAATTTACGGAAGATATAAAGAACCATAATAGTATATCAGTATTGGAAAAACAATCAACATCAATCATGATCAACCAATGTCAACCACTGGTTAAATATAAAATATCAAATCAATTAATATATTTATATAATTATTGACATATATAAAAAGTAATATGTCTGTTTTATTAATATATATATTATGCAAATGATCGATGTGAGAGGCAGCTAGAGCACGCAGATACCAATTAAGTTTATAATTATGGATGGATGATCATGGATCCTATTTGCAAAGCTTTCTTAATTAGGATTCATTCAAATGAAGCAGATATTTTATTGTTATTGTGTCGCATTCAAGCGCAATATAAAACACAGTTTCACGCGCGGATGGCAGCGATGAAACCGGTCAAGAATATCCTATGGGAGCCCGGGGGGTTTGACATGATGGTAACTTTAGTCTTTCATATAAGAATCAGTTGATTAATTTGAGTATATTAAAAAAATTAGTTAAATTAGTTGTTTATAATAAATATGTATTTTTTTTAAAATATCTTTACTAATCAAATACATTAGATAGAAGTACTTTTATTACAAGAACTATTTTATAAAAATAGATAAATATGAGGGACAAAATAGATTGAGATTTTATATCTAGAACCAAAATAAAAATAAAATAAATTTTTATATTAAGGATTGGCATACCGTAGGCAATCAGGACGTCCTAGAGCAAATAAGTGGCCCCTGGGCATTCCGCAGGCCATGTCTTGATTTTCCTGATATCTCCCAACACAAACCCCAAAATTAAATACTATCTCCGGTCCTAATTATAAGAGCCAATTGATTAATTTGAGGAGATTAAGAAAGTGAGTTGAGTTAGTTATTTGTCCTAAATAGGTGTTGTCTTTCCTAAAGTATTCTTATTAATCAAGTGTATTGACTAGAATTATCATTAACTACAACATATAGGCGTATGGAAGGTAGGGGTATGACTTGGTATTGAATACCAGTACGTCTTACACACACACACAGTGTTTCAGTATAATCCCGCTGAGTATCGGAAGGAGGACGTACGTGAAGTAGAAGAGGATGAACTCAAAGGTGTCCTTAATGTCCTACTATTTCTTAGAGCATTGGAATACACAAATATACACACACATATATAAAGAAACTGATGCGCAATGGACCATCCAAGATATCATCAAATAGAGACTATTTCTAGAAGCAAAAAAATAAAAAATTATCATTATCAAATTTTTTTTTTATAGTTGTGTTTAGAAGAATATATGAATTGAATGACAGAACAAATAAAACCATAAAACAAATAGAAAAATTTGAAAAGACAATAAAAACGGTTCAGACACCCCTGGCTTAGATAACAACCAACAAGAGCCATAGCAATTGGCATTGATCCGCCCCGATTACACCGCAGCGAGTGACGACGAAATCCGCCCAGCCAAGAATATCCCCGGAATATATATCCCAAGCAACGGATCTGAGTTCCCCCATCAAGGATATTTTTGGCAATACACTAATAACTCCTCCGCACGCCACATCTTCTTCCGGCTTTCCTTTTCCTTCCTCCCAACTCCAAACAGGCCAGAGAAACCGAAATTATAAAATAATAAATTACTATAAATTAAAAAAGTCGTCCTCTGCATACCATTTGCATATGGCTTAACGCTGCGCATATAAAAAATCAAGTGAAGCTGAGCTTTGACGACCCCGACGGTTCATTCGGCCTCTTCTCCCATTCATTTTGCAGCTTTACTCCCATCCGTAATCGGTTCTTTTACTGTTCTTGATACGTATCGAATTCGTCGTTTATGTAATTTTTCGTTACTCCCTCTTCTTCTTTTTGTATCCTACATTTCTGCTGCATCCAATTTTCAGCGTCGCTGCTAAAAATGAATGCGTCTTATTTTTCTTCGTTCCGTTTAGTGTTTCTGTTTCTCATTGGGACTTTTATTTCCTTCCTTCCTTTCTTTTTTCATTTTCTTTTTCATTTTCTTTTTCTCAGGTGACGGAAGAATGGCTTATTAGTGCACACAAGATGTATTAAATAGTGTTCCTATCGTTGAATACTGGGTTCTGAAGATCACGCAGTTTTGACATGGATATAACTTGCGGCTTACCGCAGTCGAGAATATTAGATGGAGGGATCAGTTACAAACAAAATTATAATCTCGGTTCTTGCATGACATTCACAAGATGTTTTGGTTGTGCCTTCCTTGGCAACTCGAGTACTGTTTTGAAAGCGCGGTTTAGTGGGATAAACAAAACTAGTAGCACTGCTTTTCGCAATGCTAGCTTGGTTTCCGTGGGAGAGTTCAAAGTTTCAAATATGAAGAGAACCTGGAGTAGTAAGAGAAGTGATTTTTTAATCGGATCCAAAGCAATTTGGGTTAAGTGTCAGGGTAATGATTCTTTGGCTTATGTTAATGGTAATGGTCGTAATGTAGATTGTGTGAAAGGTTCCGGTGAGGAATTGGGATTAGGGCCTACTTCTAGTGCTGAACTAACTGTATCAGTGGAAGAGGAAGAAGGGGTAAATGAAGTAGAAGAAGACACGCATAGTGTGGACGAACTGAAAGAAATATTGCAAAAGGCCTTGAAGGACTTAGAAGTTGCAAGAGTAAATAGTGCCATGTTCGAGGAGAAGGTTAAAAAAATTTCAGAGACTGCAATATCTTTGCAGGATGAAGCATCAAATGCTTTCAACAATGTTAATTTTACTCTTGATGCTATCCAAGAAGTTGAGACTGAAGAATGTCTGGCGAAAGAAGCTGTTCAAAAAGCAATGATGGCTCTTTCGTTGGCTGAGGCGAGGCTACAAGTGGCCATAGAATCTATGGAGGTTGCAAAAGAAGAGCATGATTCTCCACATGGTTCTAATGAGAGTGACGAGGACAATGACTTAACAGAGGAGGAGAAAACACTTTTGGCTGCTCAGGAAGATGTCAAGGAGTGCCAGACAAATTTTGCAAATTGTGAAGCAGCATTGAGACACTGGCAGAATAGAAAGGAGGAATTGCAGAAGGAAGTGGAGAAGTTGAACGAACTTGCTGAAAAGGCACAGCTGAATGCATCAAAAGCAGAGGATGATGTCACAAATATAATGCTTTTGGCAGAGCAAGCTGTTGCCTTTGAACTTGACGCTACTCAACGAGTAAATGATGCTGAGATTGCCTTACAGCGAGCAGAAAAATCCGTTTCAAGTCCTGATGTTGATACCACTGAAACCATACAAGTACAAGATTCTGAGGGTGTTCCTGAGGAGGAGAAAGCGGTTCAAAATTTTTCTGGTGATTTCATTGCTGAAGGGGATGGAGATTTGCCAATTGATGATGAATCCTTGCTTCAGAAGCGATCACGAGATACACTAACTGATAAAAACAGCCAAAGTTTGGTGGAGTCAGCTCACTCTGATTACCTGAGTGATCATGAGAATGGACAGTTAAGCTTAGAATCTTCTGTGGAAGCTGAAGCAGAAGTAGAGAAATTGAAGAATGCTGTTCAGACAAAAAAACAGGACACGCCGAAAGATTTTACTAGAGATAGCTCACCTTTTGCTCCCAAAGGATTATTAAAGAAGTCATCCCGTTTCTTTTCTGCATCATTCTTCTCTTTTTCTGAAGATGGAACTGAGTTCACACCAGCATCAGTTTTCCAAGGTTTTGTAGAATCTGTACAGAAGCAGTTACCTAAGGTGGTTCTTGGGTTATTGTTAATGGGAGCAGGGTGTGTATAATCTTGCAGAATCTTCTTTCTTTTGTTTCTGTTTCTTTTTTGTTTCACTCTTTTAGAAGTTGTTCGCACGTGCTGTAGTTGCTAAATTATACTGTCTATTATAAAATAATGGAACTAGTATAAAATATCATAATAATGACATTTGAATATTTTTTTGTGCCACTTGGAACAACAGTGTCAAGGCATTCTATTTGCTTGGTTATCACAAAGTAGCTCCCTTGACACCAAGGAAAGAACGACATAAATGAATGCAGCACGTTAACTAGGCATGAATCTGTTCCAAGCAGCCATTGGAACTAGCTTGTTTAAATGCTGATTTTGAAAATAAAATTTATGACGTTGAACTTCATTGAGTTGTTATTTTCTTGGCCCTAAGTATTCCTTCATCTTTTCTTAAATATGCATAAGTTAAATATGAAGGTAACCTATATTCATCCAGTGATGCAAATTTTTCACAGGGTTGCCTTTTATGCCAATCGAGCAGAGAGGAGCTCTCAGCTCTTTCAGCAGCCAGAAGTCGTTGGAAGCAGTGTTGAAGAAGTTTCCTCAAGTGCAAAGCCTGTGGTCAGACAACTTCAAAAGCTTCCCAAGAGAATTAAGAAAATTATTGCATCATTACCTCAACAAGAGGTATGTTTTTCTTTAAATAATAAATTTTCCCTTTCTCTTGCTTGGATTCAACTTGCTGACTTTTATCTTTGTATCCTATTTATATCAGGTGAATGAGGAGGAGGCCTCTCTATTGGACATGCTATGGTTATTGTTGGCAAGTGTTATATTTGTGCCTATATTTCAAAAGATTCCTGGAGGTAACTCAGTTGCCTTGTTTGTTATTGAACATACTCTGTTGAATTAAAGCAAAGTTGTTCATCTGGAACTTTAATCTTCAACGTTGTTAAAATGAAAATGTGATGCAGAGCTAATTTAGGCCACTTTTCTAGATTATGTTTATTTCCTTGTTACTATTTGTTAGTTTTGCTGTGGTATGTTGATAGTAAGTGGAGGCAGTGGTACTTGAAGCAAATTATGAATTCAATAGAAAAATTTTGCTGTTGTCATCTGGATTTTGCTTTGGGTTTGGTGAAATTTCTTTTAGAGGTATATGTCATAAAATTAATTGTCTGACATTCACATCTTGTTTTTGTGATGCTGTGCCTTGCATCTGCTTCTGAGTTTAGGGAGTCCTGTTCTTGGCTACTTGGCTGCTGGTATCTTGATTGGGCCTTATGGTCTCTCCATCATCCGTCACGTTCATGGGACAAAAGCAATAGCTGAATTTGGAGTTGTCTTCTTATTATTCAATATTGGCCTGGAGGTTTAGCTTCCCACAAGATCATGTTTTACCTACCTTATTATCGTTATCGTAATCAAGAGCAAAAACTAAAGGTTTTGAATTACTTGTTTAGCTCTCTGTTGAAAGGCTGAGTTCAATGAAGAAATATGTCTTTGGGTTAGGCTCTGCTCAGGTGATTGAGAACTCTGTTCCCATTCTTGTTATTACTGTTCACTGCAAGCTGCATTTTACCATGCTAGTCATGTATGGAGCATTGATTGTTGGCATGTTTGAATTCAAATGCAGGTGTTAGTGACTGCTGTAGCTGTTGGCTTGGTGGCTCATTTTGTTTGTGGTCTCCCTGGCCCTGCTTCAATTGTTATTGGGAATGGTCTGGCATTATCATCCACTGCTGTTGTTCTGCAAGTAATATGATCACTCTCTGCCGTTTTTTTTCCCTCCCTCCCCCCCCCTTCCGGGGGGAATCTATACTCTTTTCAGGGGCTTGTGACTTTGGTATAACCTACAGACTGTGGTGAATTTGTACTCCAGCTAAATGCTTCTATATCTTTGACATTCTTTTTTAGGGCTTTCCACCTTTAAGAATTAATTGGAATTTTTTCTGTTGTAAGCATCTTTTAATGAAAGAAATATATCTTAAAATGCCTAGCAGAGCCTGTATTATGTCAGTTTTCCCTTAGTGTAGATTGCTCATCTATGAGTTTAAATTACGAGAGCTACCATAGCAGTGTAGGATGTGCTTCTTTCTAGCTTTTATTTTATGTTTTAACATCAACAGAGTCTGTCAGGTTGCACTAACTTCTGTGAACATGTTTTACAGGTACTGCAGGAGAGGGGTGAGAGCACATCTCGGCATGGTCGAGCTACTTTTTCTGTTTTACTTTTTCAGGTTAAGTTTTTATCTTCCATTGTATCTGACAATACTTAAGGAATTTCCTGGTGAATGATTTGCAAGAGTAAATCATTATTGGGGTAATCTGTTTAATGAATTTTGTCTTATGCATGTCATATGTTTCGTGGTTCAATATCTGATACTATTAGAAGTGCCTTCTCACTGCACTCTTTTGTGGTATTAATCTGTTAGAGTGAGCATACAAATATGTTTTGCTTTCCCACAGCATCCGCTACTCTGGGGCTTGGGGCTTAGCTGGGATAGGATCTAACAATCCACTAAGAGCTCTTGTCAAATCGTTTGAGGATGGGAATAATTTAGTTTAGAGGTTTATTGTACCAGTGGTCCTATCTGCTCTCTGAGGAACTTTGAGGTTTATGTTCTTGAATGGTTTCAAAGGCTGCAGAAGCGGGAGCAAGCTGAAAGACTGGCTGATATTTTTGAGGGAAGTCAAGATTGGCCTAAATGGCAGAACTCAACAAGAAGCTCCTATCCCAGAGGGAGAATAGGCATTTAGTCTCAGTCTTGTTAGGAGGGCATTTTCTTGCTTGTAAGCTAATAGGAGGGCCTTTAGTTAATCAAAGAAATGATTTTGGAGTCTTGTGTGATAACAATGATGGAACCCTGATACTAAATCCTATAGATCCATGATGTGGTATTTAGCTGTGCACATTTTTATGCTTGCAATTAAAGAAGCTTAACAACCTTTTGAGTGTGTTATTCGCTCAAGATCTTCAATGAGAATCCTTTTTTTCTTCATTCTATCTGGTCAATTGTTATGCCCATTTGTCATTTCTGATTTTGATTGTTAATTAACTTCAAATTTATTGGTTGATCTTGCCAAATTTTGACCTATATTAACTATTTCTTTGCTTTTATTCAGGATTTGGCTGTTGTGGTCTTGCTAATACTCATCCCTCTTATTTCACCAAATTCTTCCAAAGGAGGGGTAGGATTTTCTTTCATTCCATCTTGTATTAAGACGCTTATTTCATGTAGTCAGATGATATGTCACGATGGGGTAGAAGTAGAACATTGTTATGTGGTATGAACAGTGCCTCATATTTATTTGGTAACTTTTTTTAACTTTTTTCTTGTTTATTGCATCAGCTTATAACAAAAAGAGGCAAATTTTCTTTATCAGAATATTAATTATTTTCTTCCGTCAATCATGATATTGTTTTTGATGTATATTATGAAGTTCTTAGGAGAATAGAGGGAACAGTCGCAGATCTGAAATATCCACTGACTTGTTTAAATTCTGATAAGAGACTGCAAATAAATAGGGGATAATAGGAGACAAACCTCCTTATGATGAATCAGAAATAAAATAACCGCAGTTAACACTTTTAATAACTCCAGATCTTACTGTTTGTGATATGGTCTAAACGAGGACAAGAAAGTAATAACAAATAAAGGTGCAAAATCGACGTTAGAATATTCACCAATACTTCCCTTCAGGCTGGAGAGTAATCCTTTAGCATACATAACTTGCTAGTAAGATCTCCGATCTTCTTCCTTGGCAGAGTAGTGGTTGGGGATCAGCAGCTTCCTCTTGAGGAGAGATTAAGTTGATTCTATGATTCCAACATCCAGTTTTCCTTACGAAATTTTTATCTCCCTGATGCAATGCTATGATTATGATATGCCATTCTCTAAAGGGTGGTAAAGATGAAGGTGTCGAAAGGCAACTGTCATATCACCTCTGGAGGTTTCCCTTCTTCGTGGATAACGTGTTCCACTTTGCAAGCATCTTCCAGTGCCTCCTGAGTTTTTAATAGAAGAGTTGGACTTCAATGCAATTGAGTTCTGGAAACTGCTTGGAACAAATAATTTTCAACTTTGCTTGGGTATTTGCAGTTAGTTAATCAGGTCCGTTTATTGTTGTGCCCAAAAAAAATCAAGGTCAAGTCGGAAAAGTCTTGCTGTATGCTTCCTATAGATTCCAACCACAAGCCCCCAATGTGATATCACAATTGTTCAGGGCTATCCCCAACAAAATCAGTGACAGATTTCCTCCATTCTCCATTTACCTTTTTGCATACCCCAAAAGTTTATTTACTCTTGCCACTGTAACATACATTTGTGGGGTTGGTTCCAGCTGATAATCTGATCTTTCTGCTCATTGTAGGTCTAGAAAATCATGGGTACTCCTCACAATCAATTAAAATTTGTACCATCTTCTACCTTGCGTACCCTTATATGTCTGTCCTAGTGGCACTGTCCCCCTTTCAATGGCATTAAGAGTGATATTTGGATTAGAATTGCAATCATCTTCGCAGCTATTCTTGTCTTCCCCCCTTCCTCTCTGCTTCAATCAAATGAACCTGCAATTCTTTTGATCTAAGCATTAATGACCCTTGCTAAGGTTCTAGTGACAATAATTGGCACTATGCTCCTCTATTTCTGCAACAGTCAAGAGCTTTTTGAGTCTTGATTCCATTTGCTCGATACTTCAACTCTCCTGCTTGTCATGAACACTGACTTCAACTACTCTTTACTGCATTCTTCCGACTGTTATCTTCATTGGCTGCTATCAAATTAAACTCTTGTACCCACCTTCACTACGTCTATTGCATTAACAGTATCTTGGGAGCTAACAGCTTTACCCTGTCTGCTATCTCTTTTGAGTTGTACCATGTAACAGTTGATGAGATTCTGGTTACTTAGATTTACAAGTCAAAGCTTCAAAGACATCTTGACGGCCACTTGCCTGAGGTGCAAGTTGATATAACCCTTTTGCACAATGACATTACGACAAAAGTGCTGTGAAATATTTGCTCGTCCCTGCAGCTAACATTTATTTATTTATTTATTTTTGAAGGACAACTTACAGGTGATGTGTAATATAGAACAATGTTATACTAAAGGCTTGAGACATCCCATTTTTTAATTTAAGGTGCTTCTTGTTAAGTGCCCAATACGATGGTGATGTTCTTCTTAGTAGGAATGTAAACTAAATATATTTGGGAAAACCTTGCGCCAGTGGTTGTAATCAACTTATCATCATTATTTCCTTGTGCATACTGTCATGGCTGCTTATGTTGTCGTCATGGGAACAGTTATATTGCTTTTCAGGTTGGTTTCCAAGCTATTGCTGAAGCTCTTGGACTGGCTGCTGTCAAGGCAGCAGTGGCCATCACTGCTATAATTGCCGGCGGACGATTGGTAAGTGGTATTGGGAAATGATATTCAAGATTTGTCAACAGGTTGATATATAATTAAATAATCTGTACATCTAGTGCATATACTGGTGCTTACCTTTTTTGGCTCGTTGAAACTACATATTTTTTTTGCATGATAAAGCAGTATATGTATATCTATGTTGTGTATTTAAATTCATCATACATATGTAATTCAAAAACCACAAAAAAAGATAAATCACCATAGATGTATGGAGATAGTGCTGCTTCGGGGCAGGATATATTGATATCTAAAGATTCTTGTGTGGATTACAGGCAGGTACTGCAGATTGGTTTATATGGTTTCTAATCATATGTGATGTAATATGATGAGAAACTATTTTTCTAACAATTCTAATGTTTAGATTCATATATTCTAATCAGTCTTGGATTTGACCAGAAAAATAATCCGTGGCGGATTGAAGTGTTGCGTTTAAAGATGAATTTTGTACTTGTAATGGTTTATTTTATCAGGTCTTGCTTCTAGTTTCTTTTTACTGTTTCCAGCCCTGGTGGATTTTAATAAAGTGCATAGTCAGGATATCTATTTTTAGCTGTGTCTAGATCCTGATACTTAACATGTATTATGAACAGACTTTTTTTTTTTGGGAAAAAAAAATGATTATGATGACATTATTATGTTAGGAAGGCATCTAAGACATCTTTCTTTTGATGACGCTTCAACTATATGTACAGTTGTGCTTTGTTCTCAGTTATTCTGCTCATCTGTACAGCTCCTTCGACCAATATATAGGCAGATTGCTGAAAATCAGAATGCAGAAATATTTTCAGCCAATACGCTCCTTGTTATTCTTGGGACTAGTCTTCTTACTGCTAGGGTAGGTGACCACTGTACTGCTTTTACATTTATTATTTCTTTTGGATCTTGACTTGTGGCGATTTGTGAATAGAATTTCTTCTAATGTCTCTAGATCTCAGTTCTTCAGCAAACTTTCATGCTTTTAACAAAATTGCCTAAAAAGCCAGCCTAAATTTGAGAGTTTGCTTTACGATAATTAATGTTGTGTCTCTTTGATTGATAATGTATTGTCTATGTTGTTATTAATTTTCTTTTCCCTTCATTTTTCCTTTACTCCAAACAGGCTGGACTTTCCATGGCACTTGGGGCGTTTCTGGCTGGTTTACTTCTTGCAGAAACTGAATTTTCCTTACAGGTTGAATCTGATATTGCTCCATATCGTGGTCTTCTATTGGGGCTTTTCTTTATGACGGTAGGTATGGGTACTTTCTACGAAGCATATGATTCCCATAGCACTTCAATTGACTACTGGTTGATTTTTTTTTTTTGGGGGGGGGGGGGGATAAAGGAGTGGGAGAGTCCTCATAGACTAGATAAGCTCAGAAATAAACAACATGCTTTATTATACAGAGGAAAGAAACTAATCTTTGTGAAATGAATGGAGTAAGGTATGAATGGGAAGGGAAAAAAGGAAAGAAGAGAGGGGGAAATATAAATGAAAAGAAAAAAGGAAAATAATGGAAGGTGTACCCACCAAAAATAAAATAGAAACTCAGTTTTTTTCAGGTTATTATACTTTGAAACCTTGAGAAGTATACTGAGGATTACAAGACTGACTGCTAGAGCTCCTTAAGAAAATTTTCAAGCTCCAAAGTTCCTGTGAAAATTATCTAGTTCTTGGCTTTCTGCTTTCTGCCTTAAAGGAAGTCAGTCTGTTGATTTAACGGCCATTATTTTCTTGGGATTTTTCAGGTTGGAATGTCAATTGATCCAAAACTCCTTGTGTCAAACTTTCCAGTCATCACAGGGACACTTGGACTCTTAATTTGTGGCAAGACTATATTGGTTTCTTTGATTGGAAGAAGCTTTGGGATTTCGCTCATTTCTGCCATTAGAGTTGGTCTCCTTCTTGCTCCTGGAGGGGAATTTGCGTTTGTGGCTTTTGGCGAAGCTGTTAATCAGGTTTTTGTACTTTATAACTGTCTTTCCATCAAGAGTTTACTGCTTTTTATATAGTAGTTTACCGGATAGCTGTATCTTCATTTAAAATAAATCATTCTGCTCGAGTTAACATTTAGCAAATGCTTCTTGATGTTAATACCTAAAAATACTTTTTGGAGATTTATGGTCCTTGCCTTTAATTGATATTCATAATTTATTAATAAATGGATAAGTAGTATGTCTTGGCAGACAAGATCAGTGTGTTTCTTAGTGAAACTTCTGTTTCGGGAAGTTTTCTTTTATGAGATCCGCTTATTGTTGTGGGACAGCCATCAGTTCTTGCAGTACCTCATAGCATGGTGCATGCCACATGCTTGCGGGAATTTGATGGAGGATAGATTTGTGAGTGTCCTTATTGCTGGGAAGAGTATTTAGAGTGTATGAATTGACAGGAACTCTTGAATTTTATAAAATCCTGAGCAACTATTTCTCAATCACGTGACAGAGTTCCATATCTTGAGCCATTTTGGTGCTCATGGCATTTGCATGGGAGTTCAACTAATGGATACTTTGAGAGTTTGTGGGGCTTTGCTAATATGACTCTTATTTTGAATGAATTCTCTTGCAAACTTTTCCCTCTGGATTTTCAGTTTTTTGTTGAGGAATTCTTCTACTTCATTCAAAAAAACGAAAAATATGAAATATCCATGGGTCTATTCATAGCTTATACATTATAATTTTTTCCTTTAAAATTCATATGCTGTACTCACTTTTTTGGTCTATTGCACTTCTTCAGGGTATAATGTCTTCCCAACTTTCATCTTTGCTGTTTCTTGTTGTGGGAATCTCTATGGCTCTTACACCATGGTTAGCTGCTGGCGGCCAGCTTATTGCTTCCCGTTTTGAGCTGCATGATGTTCGAAGCTTATTACCTGTAGAAAGTGAGGTAAAATCTCTAATGATTGACTGACAGGAAGTTGTATTAATTGCCAATTTCCTTGTTGGCTGGGGATTTTTGCTGATTTTGCTAATATTTTATCTTGTTTTATGGCAAAAGAAAAAAATGCATAACACTTAAATGTTTCAAGTAAAAGAAAATACCTTATAAAATTCTATATCAGCGTTATGTAAGGAAAACTTTTCTGCATTTATTGTAAAAACTTTTATTCCCTTTTCAAAGCAACCTATTATAGCAATAATATTGGTCATAATATGGCCATCATGTCTCTAAACATATTATATAGTCTTGCTTAAGGCTAAATAATGACCACTGACATTTCTTTTCAGGAAAGGTGGGTTTTTCTTTTTTGACCGACAAAGGCAAACAATATGTATGCCTATAACCATAAGGCTAACTGTGACGTCAAGTCTGTGAACTGCTTCTTTTTCATTTTTGTAATGACGGTACTATTTTTTATTATGTATGACTGGGCCCAAATACTTATCCTACTAGTAATACAATATCTCAAGGCCAAACTAAAGGTCATCCCAAATTGCCAATAAATAGTGCTGAAGTGAAATTGCAAATCTATCATAAATTAATACAATAATCATATTCTACACTAGTTTCTGGGCAGTACTTTGTTAATAAAAGGATAAATTTGTTAATCACTTAGAGGTGCAACTTAAATCTAACAACTTATATCCTTTATTCCCCTTTGCATGGAAGAAAAAACCAGATCGAACCGGCCGGTACAACTGGAAAACTGGTGAACCGGCTAGTGATCTGGTTTGGTTCAAGTGCTAAACCGGCTAAAGATCGAACCGGTCAAACCGTTATGAACCAGTGAAAATCAACAAAAACCGGTGTGAACTGGTTTGGATAATTATGATGCTATTGACCTTATTTTTTCTCATTCAGCTCCTAATATCTTAGTTACTATAGATTTGAATGAATTTTGGTGATGATTTTGGTATCAATAATTATTAATTTTAGTTATTGAGGAATCTTAAAGATCAAAATTCTCAATGTTATTGTTCTTTGTTATTGTTACAATCAAACTATTGTTGTATTTCTTTATATTTGTTATTAGTGATTATTAATATTGTTATATTTTGTTATTTTTAATTAAATTATATTATTTAATATGATCGGTTTGATTTCGAGTTGACCCTGGTCTGATCCACTGATCCTTAAACCACTACCTCAACCGGTTTAGTATCCGATCCTCTTTTTTTGTTCCTTGCCATTTTGATTGGCTGGGACATTTGTTCGCTGTATATGAAATCTTTGCATGATTTGTGCTCCTTCTATATCAGATTATCAACCTGTTTGCTGTCAGTTGACTGGAAATTCTATATCACAGTTTATTTATTTGACAAATACCTGTGGTTGTAGAAATTTAATTATGTAAACTCACAATCAATATTCATTTGTTATTTAACTTTGATTTAGAGTTGGCATGATATTTAGTTTGCATTGTGGATGACAACTTTTACAGACGGATGATTTGCAAGATCACATCATTATTTGTGGATTTGGACGAGTTGGCCAGGTAAGTTGTTTCTTTCTAATGTTCGTTTGATTGTTCTATTAATTTAAATAAAATACCTAGGCATAACAATTTATACTTATGCTGTTACCAGATCATTGCTCAACTTCTTTCTGAGCGACTGATCCCTTTTGTTGCTCTAGACGTGAGAAGGTAACTTGATAAGCCAAGTGAAACTTTATCATTTCGTCTCAACACTTCTTTAAGATGAACGTAGTTTATATGTTATTTCTACAGAAAAATGAGAAACAAAAACGCATAACACTTTTGACTTTCATCTAGATGTGTTCAAATATCATGTTTGATTGTTCATCTGCTGCTGATTTTATGAAGCATTAAAATCTTAAGTCGAAGATTATTTAGTTTGGCTTTCATATGCAACTGATAGTTGGATGAACTGTCTATTGTCTATGCATTAAGAGTTTGGGTTTCTAGTTATGTGACAGTAGCCTTTGGAGACAAAGATGGGCAATATTTAAATGTTTCTACGGATTCTTTGTTTAGCTTCCTCCCATCCCCTTTTTTTAAGATGTGTGAAGTGTAAATTAATATTCTGTATTCAATTTTGGATGGAGTTGGAAAATAGCTGTTGATGATTTAACCCTTTCCATCTTCGTTAAACATCTTCAGTGATAGAGTGGCAGTTGGTCGTGCTCTGGATCTCCCTGTATACTTTGGAGATGCCGGTAGTCGTGAGGTAGTGCGCTTGACTTCAGCACTTAAGACCACATTCATGTCCATTATCTGATTTGCTTTTTATTGCATTACTAGGTCCTACACAAGATTGGGGCTGAAAGAGCGTGTGCTGCAGCAGTAACTCTAGATTCTCCTGGTGCAAATTATCGAACAGTTTGGGCTCTGAGCAAATACTTCCCAAATATAAAGACTTTCGTTCGAGCTCATGATGTTGATCATGGCTTGAATTTAGAAAAGGCTGGAGCTACTGCTGTAATATTCTGATACCTCCTTTAGTATTTCTTGCTCCGATTACTTTATAATTTGAAGCAATAAGTATATTGGTTTTGTGTCTATAATTAATATATCTTCAGCAAAATGAGAAGCATGTGGCTATAACTGAAATAATTACTCTAAATTATGTATCCCCTGCCTGTCACTTGCATTTGCAGGTTGTACCGGAGACCCTGGAACCAAGTCTTCAGCTAGCAGCTGCTGTACTTGCTCAGGTAAATCAACGTGCTTTGACTACAATATCTATATTTGAGTGTATTTATGGTTGGCTTAACGAAAAATCTTTTGACTTTTATCAATTTACATTTTATTGATTCTTTTGTGTTATTAATTGGCATAATTGATTTTGATCAATGCTTATTTGCTCTTCTTGCTAAAATTGAAATCTGTCTTCTGGAGGACCTATATGGCATGCCAATAAGAATTTCATTAGTATCATGTGCCTATCAATGGATTATGAGGTTAAGTAATATAAAAACTCAACTATTAGAACACACATCTTTTTTACATGATATTTAAAAAAAAATACATTGATGCTATAGCACAAGCAATAGCAGCTGCTTTAGTGGAGGCCACTTTTGTGCCTATCCATCTGCCTTAATGGAATGCCATGATATGATGGTGAGTGAGGGCAACTGTAGAATTATTACCATTATTATTTCGGTTAAACTGAGTGCCAATTTGAGCTTGTGACTTGATGGGTGATACTAAAATTCGGTCACCATCAAGCCAAAGCTTTGAATGGCGTGTTGTTATTTTAAATACCTTCTGTATGATTCCTTTCCAAAGCCTTTTCCACTTCCTTGGGGTGCAGTAAACTAATCGATGTGTGCAGGGACAGCTTTAGTGTCCTATACACATCTTTAGTGTCCTAACTCATGTCATGGAAACTGATTTTGTGTCAAACACTTTATAAAGATAGATTGTATAAAACTGTCTGATTCAGTCTTGTATAGCTTCTGGTAAAAAAGGTCTTGTATAGCGTGCTAACAGGTGCAAGTGTTATATAACTTGCCCGCTTATAAATTATTTAAAGTTTTGGGTTTTTCTGATTATGAGAATTTGTTTTTTAATGCATACTTCATTGTAAGTTTTGATTGAATATCTCATTGAAGACACTAGCTGTTCCAAAACACGAGGAGAATAAAAAGATGAAATGAAAATGGCTAAAGATTGTTTACGTTAGGCGTTGCCAGAATTGTGACGTTGAATGCAAGAGGTTTCCAAGATTGGGTAGTTTAGTACATAGTGACGCAATGCTACATATAGTATGGGGGTGAATTAATGTTTGTTCTCTAAACCTCATCTCTTCAGGCTAAACTTCCCACGTCAGAGATTGCATCAGCTATAAATGAATTCAGATCCCGGCATCTAGCTGAGCTTGCTGAGGTATGTATTTTATTAAATCACAAGCATAGAGAGAGGCGTGGGGCGAGTCATTATGACTGTTGGGTTATGTCAATGCTGGTTCTCTGCGTTACTATTTAATGGACGTCAGAATATTGATATATGTTCTTTTTGGTTTATGCAACAGCTGTGTGAAACAAGTGGCAGTTCTCTTGGCTATGGATTTAACCGAATAGCGAGCAAATCCAAATCTCAATCCTTAGATTCATTGGAGGACAACCAAATCTCCGAAGGGACATTGGCAATATGAAGATTGCCTCTTTGATAGAATTTTTTTTTTTTTTTTAAAAGGATAGGAAAAGGAAAATAATTGTGAAAACTAGTTGACTAGGAATTCCATCAAATGTGTACAGAAATACATCTGCATATAAAATTCTGAAGTGTTCTTGTTTTTTTTTTTTTTGGTCATTTACATTGTTAGAAAAATTTTGGCTCTCCTTACCTAGAAGGGCATAACTGTTGATGTACTGTTGGTATGTAAATTTTTTCGCCTTTTCCTACGTGCTTGATGTTTGAATGTCCATTACAACAAGAGCTCATCAAGCGCAAGCAATGCTTGAAATTTTGTCTGCCAAGAAGTGCTTGAAAGTGTAAATAAACAAAAGACAGGAAAATGGTCCTTCCAAATAAATCTATAGCTGCGCTTTCCAGGTCGCAGGTGCAAGCAACCTGCCGCCGAATCGTAACCATGCTTGACTGGCCCTAACGTTCATGAAAGTCGCATCCCTCAAACTGATGGCCTCAGAAGCATGATATCCTTGGTTGTACTATATAAGATTTGATATCGTCGACCTCACTTCTATAGTTATGGTCTTATTAATGTATTATTGTGGTTGCAGCACATTTGTGTTGATATTGTTTGCATGACTTGTCAGATCGATGTTAATCATACTTAAAACAATTATACTGGTTCTAGTTCTTAATATAAAAGTTAGTTTGACATTTAATGTGGTTCTAAATATGATATTTTAATTCATTTTCTCTCTTATTTATCTATTTTTTTAAAATAATTCTTATAGCAATTGTATATATTAAATATTTTATTAAATGACAGTTCTAGTTAATAGATATGATTGATAAGAATATTTTAAAGAATACAATACTTATTTATTACAAATAATTGATTTAATTAATTTTTTTAATCTATTTAAATTAATTAACTAGTTTTTATATTAAAAACTGCAAGTAATAACAAACATCAACAAATTTGTGTTGATTTTTCTTTTGGACCTCGGTAAAAATATATAAATTTATCCCTATAAAATCTCAATGAAATGACGATTTTTTTTTTTACCATGAAAGAACGATCAATATCTACAATCGCAATGCTCCGTAGTCCGTGCCACTTCGCGCATACTATTATAGCTGTAGTTCGACCTTTAAATCTAAAAAGAAAATCAGTTAAATTTTTGGAGGGGCCAAAATCGCTGATTCCATATTCCATGTACGCGAACGTGACCACTCGGCGAAGAGCATCACGGCCTCCGTTGGTTCATTGAGCTCTTCGCCGTCATCTTCTAAAACCCCGCCAACAACGGCACAACGTTCAGATTTCTGAGACGCCGTATGAGGAGTCATCCAATGGCTTCAATGGTAGCCACGGACTCTTCTCCTTCCTCTGCCGCCGCTCGTCTCCTCCCTGTTCGCCTCAGGACTGACGCTTTTTCGCCCCGCCGCGTGCTCCGTATGGTTCCTGCATACTCCTCCCCCTCTCCTCGCTATTTCGCCCTTCGCTCTTCTCCTTTTTCTACATCTCCTGTGGTTCCCACCGGTATTTAAATCCTGCTCTTCTTGTGTGCTTTCTGTCATACTGCAGCTTTATTTTATTTTTATTTTTTGTGAAATTCAGTCTCTTTGTGGTCTTATGAAGTGCCCAGAATGGTGCTTTCCTATTCTGAATTCTACCCCATTTAGCATTTACGAGCTCTTAGTCGACAGTTGTGACGGGTTCGAGCGCTTTCCTCCTCGTATAATATTTAAGTTAGATGTTTTTCTTTTTGAATGATTTTATTATCCACTGTAAAGTCAGCGCTAAGGCCGAATTTTTTTTCCCCTTTTGTTTGGCTAAATTGCTGTTCTGTCGATAAGAACGCCCAAGCTCAAACCATGCTGATATCTCGATCGTGTTAAAAAAGATTTATGTTTTATATATTGGTGTTAGTTTCTAATTGCTGCAAAACTTGTGATACTTGCTCTCCTGAAACTAGAAAGTGTAATGTTGATTTGCTTCAAGACCAGAAATGGTCTTAAATCTCTTTTGCTATTCAAGTAGTGATCATTTATGGTTTGTAGATGTGATACATCCTTATTTTACCGTCTTATTTTGTATCTTTTTGGGGGTTTTATCAACTAAAATAAGTTAATTTGCATTTCTTATTATTATTTTGTCAAATTTTTATGTTTTCTCTTAATGATTAATTTTGGGACTTTTGATATTACAATTTCTTCAAAATTAAGATGCACACAAGCTATGGAGTGTATTTGGAGTACTGTATTCATGAATTTGCAGAGTTCAATATTCATTTAAGATGTGTTTTACCTTCCTGGTACATGATCTAGTTTAACATGATGACTGGTATAATGAAGAATCTGAGGCATTAGGCTGGTTTAACAGATGAATATTGAAAATTTGGTTGTGGAAGAGATTCTTAAATGACCCGAGACATATTTATTTTGGAATTCTAATGCTCATGTATGTGTGCCTATGCACCCACTGATGCACATGCACTCCAGTGGTTTTTTCCTTGGCATTCTGTGGCACCAGTCTTGTTTTACTAGTCTCATTTCGTACATTTTCATACTGCGTTATGCTCAGCTGCCATGGCTACTGAGGCTTCAGCCGAGGTGATTGATGGGAAAGCACTGGCAAAGCAAATCAGAGATGAAATAACAGATGAAGTTTCCAGGATGAAAGAAGCCATTGGTGTGATTCCGGGGTTAGCTGTAATCGTTGTTGGAGAAAGAAAGGACTCTGCAACTTATGTGCGGAATAAGAAGAAGGCTTGTGAATCTGTGGGAATAAATTCTTTTGAAGTTCATTTGCCTGAGGATACAACAGACCAAGAAGTGCTAACACATATTTCAGGCTTCAATGATGATCCCTCAATTCACGGAATTCTTGTTCAGTTACCTTTACCTTCGGTATGCATCTAGATCTTTGGTTTCATTTGTTTTTCAGTTGAATTATGCTTTGATGAGAGTTTTACTTTTAGCCATATCTTTCAGTTTGTAATTAGGGAACTGCATTCAATTTTTTCCATGGATAAATTATTTAATAGTTTAACTTAAGGACTGTTTTATTGGCTAAAATTATAGTTGCCTTATTTTTGCTTCAAATAGTGCTGGTAGTTCAATTCAGACAATTTATTGAAGCGGTTTATGGAGCAAATGGAATTTCTTGATCCATTCAACTACTTTTTCCTTCCCTTGATTCTGTGATGTGTCATACCTATCTTTCATCTCAACTTCAATGTAACATATGTTGAAATTTTGAAATGAAGAAAAGGAATTGTATCCTTTATGTGATTCATAGACCTTCTCTGTAACTTCTGTGCGGAATTTGGACTCATTTTTTAACTCAATCTTGTGACAGCATATAAATGAGCAGAATGTCTTGAATGCCGTTAGAATTGAGAAGGATGTGGATGGTTTTCACCCACTAAATATTGGCCGCCTTGCCATGCGTGGTAGAGAACCCCTGTTTGTTCCATGTACACCCAAGGGATGCATAGAGCTATTGCACAGATATGGTGTTTCTATGAAAGGAAAGAGAGCTGTTGTGATTGGTCGGAGCAATATTGTAGGAATGCCTGCTGCTCTCTTACTCCAAGTAATATATCATTGGTTCAAATTTAAATTTTATTCTGTACACACAGCAAACTTTTTATTGAATGTAACTGTTCATTTATTTCTTCTTTGTTTCATATTTACATATTCCCCTGTCTCTGTATTTCGTGTTAATAGAGGGAAGATGCTACCGTCAGTGTTGTCCACTCCAGAACCAATAATCCTGAGGAGATCACCAGACAGGCAGATATAATAATCTCTGCTGTTGGACAGCCAAACATGGTGAGGGGAAACTGGATTAAACCGGGTGCGGTTATTATTGACGTTGGAATCAACCCAGTAGATGTAAGTAGACTAATATTAATGGGTTTCTAATGCACAATTAGCGGGCTACTTAGGTTGGTACTGGGTCTTCAAGGATGAAGCACGTGGTTAATGGCTTAATGCTTAAAATTATATTCTAACGGTTATTTAAATGTTCTACTGGGTGTTTGTGACAGGATCCAAATAGCCCTCGAGGTTACAGGTTGGTTGGAGATGTTTGCTATGAAGAAGCCTGCAAAGTAGCCTCAGCTATTACCCCAGTTCCTGGAGGAGTTGGTCCTATGACCATAGCTATGCTTCTCCAGAATACCCTCATCTCTGCAAAGAGGATTCATAACTTTAATTAATTTATATGTTCGATCATATCCTGGCCGGAGGATGTATAACGTGCTGGGTCGCCAACTTGTGTTCGGGAGGTTTTGCCTTTTGCCCTATCTTGGTTCTTATGCATTGCGCATTAAGTCAGCAAAATATATATTTTTCTTCATGACTTGGTTATTTTCTCAAGCAATAGAGTAGCAATATAACATTAACCATCCCTCGTATAAAGGCATTTTATGATGCAAACTTGTCTTCCCAGTCGAGTGGGAGATTAATGACCAAGGGAGGAAATCTGGTTATACATGGCAATGCCTTTTTAAGACAGCAAGCGTTGCTTGTGTGATTTATATGATAAAGTTTGAATTGATAAACCCAATTTTGATTGTATGCTTGTTGATTTGGTTTCTTAGTCTGGGTAAAGGTATTCATGTGTTTCTTACTTCGCTTTGCTTTGTTCGTATGTGGAAGTAGTGCAAGTCTTACTCATGCCCTGCACAATCATGTGCTTAAGACGGTAACCGATTAGGCGTTTGGCTTCTACAAAAATGAAATTATTGATACATAGTATTTGATGGGGAAAAAAAAATTCAACGATTCATGTGTTCATGAAGTGTGAGAAGTCTGATGACGCCTTGCGAATGTTTTGAGGTTATTGCATGGTTCTCTCTCCGTGAATTGTCCTCTCTTGCATGCCATCTATTATATATATGTATTACGCACACTTTAGTTGACGAATATAAGAAGATTAGTGAAATTACTAAATTACTTAATTATGATATATATGACATAATATTTTTAAAATACCTATGTTTATTATTAGATTATAGTACTTCCGGTCTTTAATATAAAAGTTATGAGAGGATTGAATTTGGCTTTAAATATAATTAATTTTGTTTTTCTTATTTATCCAAATTAATTTTATTGATTGCATATGTGAAGGGAGTTTATATCGAATTTTAATTTCAATTCAAGTGATTTAAGACAGTTTTTTCAGAAAAGCTAACATATTTTTTACAAGTAATTAATTTAATTATTTTTTAATATACTCAAATTAGACTAGATAGTATATTAATTTATATGTGAAGCAAATGAGTTAAAAGAAAAATGATAAATATAAATGTTTTAAAAATTTAATAGCTTTCTTAATCTTTTCAAATTAGTTAACTATTCTTTAGGTTCTTAATAAAAGATCTAATTATTAAATTAGTTTTGGTTTTAAATATAAGACTCACTTTTTATATTTATCAATTTTTTCTAAATTACTCCTATAGATATTTCCTCAACCATAATCAAGTAGAAGAGGAAGAGAGAATATTAAGAAAGATGATTATGGTACTTTAGAAAAAACGTGTCATATTTCTTATAATTAACTAACTTATCTAACTTCCTTAATCTAATCAAATTAGTTAAATGAATCTTATATTAAGAATCGGAAGAGTAATTCTTATGTTAAAAAAAGGAGAAAATAGTATTCCTTCGATCTTCAATATAAGACCTATTTAATTAATTTGATTATATTAAGAAAGTTAGGTAAGTTAGTTAATTATAAAAAATTATTTTTTTTAAAATACCATAATTATCTTTCTTAATATCTTCCTTCCATGTTCTACTTGATTATAATTAAAGGAGTATCAATAAAGATAATTAAAAATAATAATAAATATGATGAATAGATCTTACATTTAGGACGAAAATCAACTCAATAATTAGATTTTATATGACAAAAAGAATATCTTAAAATTAGCAACAGCGGGCATCTGACCAATTGACGTTTACATTCCGTATGAATTTGGTAAAGAATCTTGTGTTTTTGTTTTTCATTTATAATTTTTAGTTTCGACTCATGCGTCTTTCACAAGGTCAACTAAATTTTTTTTTGTATTTTTTTTATACATAAACTTTTTTTTTGGGGTACACCTCAACTAAATTTCAAATAAGCCCACCCTATCTCATCCAAAAAGAAAAAAAATGAAAGAAAGAAAGAAAGTGTCATCCAGTAATTAGCTATTAATCAATACCATCAAAATATTAATCCGTTGCGTATTTTGAATTTGATATCTTCATCAACCATACGTAAAATAGAATATGCATTCTTAAGTGGAAACTTGAAGAAGCATGAATGATGCGGTGCAATGCAGGGCAGCTCACCTAACAACCCAATAGAGACCATTTGCAAGTCTTCAGCAAGAAAGTGAGCCTGTTACCGCAGGCCAATGAGTTATCTCGCGTACAAGTCTAACATCAGTGCTTATGTGATTTAACTTACATTTTGATTGATTTTTTAAGCCCCCCACCAGGCAGAAAATCAAAATCTACCACAACATGTAAACAATATCTCTCCATAATGGCCTGTACTTGACATCATTGTAATCAAAATCCGCATAGCCAAACATTTGATTGTCCATCTACAGTAAATTTCAAACTTTCAATGGAAATACATCATCCAAAATCTGCAAAGTAGGGCATGATGGTTGTTCATTGGGCAAGATTACTACTACTATATTATTTAGATTCAGGTATTGTTTGACCGTCACCTCTTCTGCATGAAAGATCTACTCTTGCTCCAAATTGATCTATCCCAGTCCTACTTTGTTTTGTACTTCTAAGAATTGAAACCTGGTAGACATAAGTAAAAGCGTTATTTTCCAACCAAAAAAAAGGCGTTGACTAGATGGAGAACATCAATGAGATCAAATCATCAAAGTAAATCCAAATTTACATGAATTCAAAGGACGAGGGGGGAATAGAAATTCTAGAGTTCGCTTGATGGGTCATGGTGTAATCATTTCATGATTAACATTCTATCTTTAAGCCTAAGTTAAAACCCAAACAAAAGTTTAACAATATCATAATAAAGCTACAAATGATGGGATATCACCACGTCATCAGATTGTGTTAAGCTTAAGCTACCTTGGGCCGTTCCATGGAGCTTCCAAAATATCCTACTCCAAAAGATGAGGAAGTGTATGCAGCTGCAATCTCTACAGCTTCCAGCCTTGGTAGTTTTCCTTGACCCTATGAAAAGAACAGATTAGAAAATTTTAATGAAACATTTAACAGGAAAAGCTGAATCCGGATCTAACTGTTACAGATGCATCTGCCTGCACGACCAAGATCCCTGAACTGCTATCAGTACCAGATCGACAGCTTTCCTCAACAACTGAGCGTAAGATTTTTGTGCAAGCAGCAGCAGCACCAGATTGCGAGCTACAGAAAAGGCGACATCAGATAGATCCAATAGGCGGAGTGTTGCTACGGCAAATAACACTTCTTCTCTTTCATCAAGACTGGAAGCAGATACCACTAACAGGTAAAGACAAGTTTTCAACTAAATACTTCATGCAATTCATCAATAAGGTCCAACAATTGAAATCTGAGACAGAAACACCCGTTTTTCCTTCCAAATATGTACTGAATCGCCATTAAAAAGAGTAAAATTTGAGCGCATACAATTACTTGTGTTGACTAAAATGCCAAGATCCCTCCCTCTCAAAATATAAAATATTTTAGACAAGCATACAGTGATAGTGAGACACAGCACTCCCTTGCCGCAAACCCTTTCATTAGGTGCTCTCCAGCACCAGAGACACAGCATCCAACCATGAAAGGAGCCCCAAAAGGACCTTTTGATGATGCCCAACAACCCGCACCATACATTGCTGCCAATCCCACTCGTCCACTAACCTGTCATATATTTTTCACACGTAAATTTGAGTATTCACATCCTGCTATTAAATTGAGGTATCAGGCAAGCAACCCAAGAAATTTGTTTGTCACCTTCAGAACAATACCACCACTGGAAGCCCCAGATGCCACCTGTCCCTCACTGTCCACACAAATAACTCCAACTGTGTCCATAATGCGATCTTCTGAAGTATGATCTACAGCTGCAGAAACAAAATGGGACATAACTTCAGCAAGAACAAGTTCATGGAATATCATAGTTTAAGTTGTAGCCAAATGATCTCAAAAGGGAAAAGGAAGAAAATTGACAATGATATTAAGGAAATTCTCAGTTCGTACATCTCAACATAAGAAAAAATGATTATCCATATTTTTCCTTTAAAAAATGCTAAATTTCTGACATAATGAAAGATCCATCCTGAAATAGGAAAACTCTATCAGTTTGATAAAATTATTTACCTAGCGTTGTAGTACTTTGACAGACAGAAGACTGTTCCATAGAAGAATCTCCTGTTTCAGCTCTGGCAGCATCAATCATAGATTTGTATCTTGTCCATTGTGCTCTTGCTCTTGCAGTGATTAGCCACTGTTTTGATATAACTAAACAGATTATACATCCAAGTTTTATAACTACATGATAAGTTCCATAACAGAAACATGGTGTATGTTTGAAAGGGTGAAAAAAGAGAAAGATAGAAAGAAATCTGAATTTTTTTTTTTTGGGGGGGGGGGGGGGTGATCAGAGTTGTTGAAGTGTGCCGGAGTTGACAAACTATGACCTCATTGGCCTCTCTAGTGCTTCCAGGCAAGCAAATGCCCTTTGACTTTGCCCACTTGGATGCCCCTTCACCTGATAAGAAGCTGCAGACACAGGAATACAAGTAATAAACAGATATTATCACACAGATTTATTCATGAGCTAAAAGTAAAAAAACTTCAAAACTCGCCATATCAAATATTAATTATGTATTTGAGACTGACACTGAATATCAATTAGTAATCTAATGTTGAATACTTCAGGGCCCCAGATTTGTAATCACAAAAATTTTAACTTAAGGCATATGTTCCAATCATAAAAAAATGCTGTGATAACAACTGCAGTGAGTTCAAGTAGTCATTACATTGGAGGAATACGACCCAATAAAGGAGATCCAGTAATTTGCTCTTTGGCCAACAATGCAGCAATTTTGATAGCATTTCGAACACCTGATCTATAGTTTGTAGAACAAATAATCAAAAACAAGATAATAAATCTCAGGCAAACAAGGAGTAAAACAATATCTCTTCAGAAATCAGATTTCCCAGTTGATTAAACATTTTAAGCTAACTGTAAAGCTTAAGTTTTTCAATTCAGCACAAACCATAACACAAGGTGGTTCTGTCAGGACTCGAGTAAGTACCTGGAACTGCACCAACAGCCCCAAAAGCTCCAGATTTTCCATCCATTATGCTGGCATCACATTCCACATTACCATCTTCTGTCAAATTGGACCCTCGCCCTGCATTTGTGCTAGGATCATCCTAGAAAAACAGTTATATTCAATCAATACATCCTGAAAGCATTATCATTTTTCCCTATGGCAATATACCATTTCAACTTTTGTTAGATATTATCATTAATACAATTTCAACTCCACGCAAATCCCATTACATTGAGTATTGGACACTTAAAAGGAAAGGAAAGCCACTCACAATGCAATTATTTAACTCACTTCAATATTACAATGATACAAATAGCCCATGTTCTATCAGTAAATCGGCTGAGTGATAGTTATATTTTAACTTAAAACATCACCAGAAAAAAAATAATACATCAAAGGCCAACAAAGTTTACAAGATAAAAATCCAAGGAAGAAATTTAATTATTAAAAAATCCTAATGATCAGTGACTAGCCTGAACCTATTGTTATTTCCTACTCTGAAATTTGTCATTACTTGCTCTTCACTTGTCAATAGACTTTAGGGTAATTAAATCCCTTCCTTAGGATCTGATTGTAATTCTCCCTAATAATAATGAGTTCAATGATAATTCAAAACTAATATGAAAAAGAAGAAAAACGTAAAGTACCTCCAATACTTGAATGGCTGCTACAACAGCATCCATACACCTTCCAGACCCCTAAATCAAATTAAACAGAATGAAGCCTACCAGTAATATTGAAATTTCATTTCTAAATACAGCTTCGTCTCAAGTCCATGATGACCCATTATCTTATAAAAAAGGCTCCCTCTAACAACTGAAAGGCCCTGAGTTCGAACTTCGAACTCCTTACCCCACAAACCAATAAATAAATTAGAGAAGACTTATAAAAGTAAATCATTCAACTAGCACGATGCAAAATATTGATCATCGTTACCGCCGATAAATTTCTAATCCATTTCTGTTTTGGCAACAACTCTCACTATTAACCGGCTAGAGAATTATCATCATTTTCTCAGCCAATATTATTTTCTATAAAAAAAACTAGTGTCTCAATATTAAATATTTTCCTCAGGCTAATTCAGGGTTTCGGAGAAGTGAGTCACCAAAAGCAGAAATTTTGACCGTAAATGGCTCCCAAAATTTTTTCCAATCAGTGAGAAGCCAAGAGGTATAGAAGATCATTTTTTCTATACAGTAAGAAGAGAACCTTGGAGAGAAGCGAAGCAGCAGCGAGGCAAGCGCGGTTCATGGCGGACCTGAGGGCTTTCTCATTGGAGGGGGAGTGGTAACCGGCGCCTACGTGAACGGCAACGAAGAACGTTGTTGGGTTTTCGGCGTTCGCTTGGCCGGCCATGGAAGCAATTGTCGCAGCTCGAGCGAGGGTGAGGGTTCAGAATGACTGACGAGGAACTAAATTGCATGTGTTGGAAATCCAGGCCGAACTGTTCAATGTGACATTTTCAAATATTTGGCCTTGATGGAGTTGCATTGTTTCTCCGAATTTTATTTTCATCAATTTAGTTCCCCATATTTGACAAGGCTAATGTTAAGACTGCTCCGATCTTAAATATAAGACCTTTATACATATTAGTATAAGGGTCTTATGTTTATGATCAGAAGAATATTAATTTAAAATAATTAATTGTTGACATTTTTTGAAATTTGTCAACGATGTTGTCTGTTTGTTTATTAGAATAAGGTTATCAAACTCACGAGTTTAAACAAACTCGCAATAAGGATATAAACTCATATCACAAACTCGTAAGAATTTACTTTTATTAATATATTAGTATTAAAAGTATATAATAAAACGATTAATATACAAAAAAATGAGAAAATTTTCATTTAAATATATTTTAAATTCAAATAATTGAAATTATATCTATTAATATTCATAATTTATCACAGTCAACAAAGAAATTTCTATAAAATTCATATATAAAGTTACTAAATATAATCAAGTTCAAAAATTTAGCATGAGTTTAAGAGTAAGTTGATATAATTTTGTAAGCTAAAAATGTAAAAACGGTAAACTCGATAAATGAATTTGTAAGTTTAACTGAGTTTACAATTATCACAAGTTTAAAAATGAATCGACACGATTTTGTTAGTTGAAACCATAATTATGTTAAATTAAAAAGTCAACTCGCGAGTTTGACAACAGTACCTTAAAATTTGCCAATAACTGATTCCTATGAAAAGTAACGTGATAATTTCATACAATGGAGAGGATTAAATTAATAAAATTAAAATGTAATGACACAAATCGATAATTATTTTTAAGATAACATTTTTCATTTTCCTTATTCCATCTTGTTTTCTCATATGGAGTTCCAAATGCCCTAAATAATTATTACCTCCGATCCTAATTATAAGATCTCGTTTGTAGTCTGTAGATGATGTAACATCCTAAGTCTTATTGGGTTTTAATGGCCTCTTTTGGGTTGATTTTGAGGATAGATTAGCAATTTAATCTTGATCTTAGTGTTTGGGTTGGATTTGAGGTTTGTTGGAAGAATAGGTGAACGTACCCCTCTCAGGGTATGTTCGCCGCGGCGAAGTTTACTTCGCCGCGGCGCACCAGGAGTTTCAGAGGGGAGTGTCTTCTCAGGAAGGTTTGGCCGCGGCGAAGTCTAGGGGACGCCGCGGCGAAGTTGTTCTGGTGAGCGAGGCTTCCCTTTCGGGAAGGTTTCGCCACGGCGAAGGCAAGGGCATGCCGCGACGAAGTTTTTCTGGGCGAGCGAGAGTTTCCTCTCAGGAAGTTTTCGCCGCGGCGAAAGGTCGCGATTCTATATAGTCGCTGGAGGATTCAGTTGTGCGAAAATTAGAAAATCTGAAGGAGGAGAGAGGGGCTCTGCTAGGGTTTCGAATTTCTGGCTTGGAGGAGACATTTCTAAGGATCCATTACCTCAAGTAAGTGATTTTAACCTCTAATCTATCTTCTTGATTGGAATTTGTAAGGAATTATGGTGAAACCTTAGGATTTTCTAGGTTGTGATGGAACTGAGGTTTTTGACCGATTGTTTTGAGTTTAATTGATTGCTTTGGGTTAGTTTAAGTGTTTAATCGGTGTAATTTTCTTGGATTTAAAGAATCTTGAATTTTTGGACCTAGGGTTTATGGAAATGGATGATTTGGGATTGAGGATGACAATGTAGAGGTTGATTCTGAGTTTTGTGAATTGGGTTATGTTAAGGAGGGTTAAAATGTATGTTTAATCGGTTTAGATTTGTTGTTGGAACCTTAATTGCTCAAATGGGATGTTTGGGTGTAGAAGTCTATAGTGGGTCCTTGAGGTTATGAATTTAATTGATGTTTGGAAAGGAATTAAGGTTTTTATGGATTAGTATGACTTTGGAGTGTTGCCTTGATAGTTATACCCTTTGAGTTGGGTAGAGTTCGGTGGGAAATAGGAATTTTGTATCCCCAAGTGTTGTTTTGGCCACATTATTAGTTTGAAAGCTAATATATGATGGTTGTGTGTTTGTGTGCTTGTGTAGACCGGTTGTGAGTCTTGGTGGTGCACGGGGCCACATCGTTGGTTTGTTGTTCCTTGCTCAGGCGAGAGGTAACCACTTTCCAATCCTTAGTACTTGCTTCTGTGGTATTGTGAGTAGATTTGTGTTTTGGTGCTCCAAGTAGTAATTGTGTTCAAACTATATGTTGTGTATAAAAAAGGAAAACCGTCTTGTGGGGTTTTGTTTGATGATGAATGAAATCTTGAAATTGTGAAAGATATGCCACTGAATGAGGTTAATTGTGAAATGATTATTACTCTTTGATTATGATTTGAGCATGATGCATTGATTGGGAATTGGTGAGAGATTTGTCTGTTACTACCACGTGGTAAGGCCTCCATTAATGCATGATGGTTGGCTTAGTACGTCCCCCATAGTGAGGGATAGGCCTTTTGGCTCCCTACGTCCCCCAGAGTGAGGGATAGGCCTTTTATGGCTCCTTACGTCCCCCATAGTGAGGGATAGGCCGGCTTCGGCTCCTGAAAATCTCCCAAAGTGAGGGATTTGGTTAATGGGAATTGCATCATTTCACTCGCATGATTTATTGTGGCTATCTTGTTATTATATTACTTGTGAACTGCCCCACTTGACACTTCACGAGCACCTATTTAGTAGTACCTAGTATTGGAAAGGTTGGTTACTGGGACTTTGTCTCACCCCGTGGTTTACAATGTTTTTAGGTGAAGTTTCTAAGCGTGCGCCTTCGGGAAAAGACGCAGAGGCTTAAGCTTGGTTAGCTTTAGGCCTCTAGCCTTTGTTTATGTATGAATATGTTGTATATTGCCACAGTTAGGGGTCTTTTGTGATATTTTGATTGTTAATCTATTGTAAATTGGAGGATACATTACCTCCTTGTTTTAGTTGGCCGGAGGCCATTACTATTGTTTTATGGAACTTTGTTATACCTGGTGGAAAACAAATTGGATGGGCTGATTTTTGGATGTATGTTGTTACCCGGGCCAGAGGCTCGGAAGCCCAGTGGATTATGATTGAATGAATGATTTCAGTTGCATGCAACGGTTTAAATGTGAATTCAAAATTATGCAAATTTCTTTCTACTATGGTAGTTCATTTAACAGATTTTCCTTTTCTACCATAGTAGTGATTTTATGATGAGTTATAATGTTTTGAGGTTAAGGGTTTTACAGATGAAATCTTATAATTAGAATATGAGGTAGTTTTTTTTTATTTCATTATATTAAAATTCATTTACTTTTTTATTCTTCTACTCTTGCATAGTTTGATGTGTTAAATTACATTCAATACTCTATTTTTTCAGTGGTATTCAATGTTTTGAAATAATTTTCAGTAAACAAACAAAATTAATAAGCACAAAATCCTTATGCCCTTAGTTTTACAAATTATTTAAAAAAAATGTTTAATACTACCTTTGATCCTTAATATAAAAGCTAGTTCGACTTTTAATTTAGTCTTAAATATAAGACTCAAATTCACTTTATGTTTTATATTTATTTATTTTTTAAAAATAATTCTTATAGTAGTTGTACATATTAAATGTTCTATTAAATGATAGTTTTAGTTAATATACATAGTTAACAAAGGTATTTTAAAAAAACAATACCTATTTATTACAAATAACTAACTTTACTAATTTTTTTTAGATTATCCAAATTAGTCAATTAAGTCTTATATTAAAGAGCGGTAGTTGTAAAACGTTACTTTGAATAGCTTTCCAATTGATAAACTGTTGTAGATTAGAGAGAAAAATCATTACCATACGAAAATACTTTAACATATCATAAAAACTGAAAAATGTTTAATGATGAATACTTTTTATGAATAGAAATAGAAGATATGATAAAATCTTGAAATTACTGTGGAATAAATCAATCATTATGATTGTAACCAAATGCAAAATATTTTTTAAAAAAAAAAATCTACACAACAAATCGTTAAACTATCCGAAAATCATTTATGTTGTTCTCTAAATTCAAGTGACGGGATGAGTTAAAACACCAACTTGACGAAATTTGACTGTATAATGATGGTAAGGATTTCTTTGAATGCATGTTTGTGGCATTATCACTGCCTACTTAAATTATGGGTTATACTTTTCCCATCAAATCACCAGCATCAGTCTCGCCAAATGGTACTGACCACTGAGAATCATATTTACTTCAAAACTCAGCCGGTTATTGGCACCAAAAATAGAGTGCTAAAGACACGCAGGAATATTGGCAGTGCAATCCTCTGTCATTATACAACACAAAAATAATATTTAAGGAAGACTTGCAATGCGTTTGTTTAGTAAAGCATACAAAATATTGCTGCAATAGTCTCAAGAATCGCTGTTAGGGTTTCCCACGAAGAGGGCCTGGCATTGCTTCAATGTATCTTCAGGACTTGTAACTGAAAGGCAGACAAAAGATATTAGGAACCCAGAATCACGGAAAGGATGTTGATCTCAGCCGTGTAAATAAGTTCGCAGATAGAATCATTGAGTTAAGAAAACAACTAACCGGTGTGCCCAACAGTCCTCTCTGATTCATAAATTTCATGGTCATTCCCACCCTGATCAAAGAAAAAGTAAATATGAAAGTTATCAGGCACTAGAGCATAACAGAACACTAGAGGCTACCTCATGCACAAGAGATCTAGAAATCTATCAAAATGGTAATTGTTGAAGGATATAAAAACAGACGAAACAAGTTATGAAAAATTAGATATAGGAGCTAGCTAGGTTTTGAGAATGAAATTGCCTGAATTCTATGATACGGTTAGACGTTACTTTTAAGAAATAAAAGATGACAAACTTCTTTTGCAGCATGCTTTACCAGAGGATTTAAAAGAAAGAAAAAAGGATTCTGGGCAATCTAAAGAACAGATACTATCCGCTGTGGTTGTTCCATCAGGGGACTAACCTATCACGGTTGGCAGAGGCTAACAAATGTAGATTGATTAGAGATCGGAATGACCTAGCGATTGTTTTAATGGAGGCAGAAAATGGGCGATAATGCATATGTTCACTTCGATACTTGACAGTTTAAATACCCAATAACTTTATTGACTGACCTTGTAGGTTTTGTCACCAAAGAAGTGGATTTCATTGAAGCCATCGAGATATCTCAAGCAGTAAGTTTTATCCCAACCTCGAGGGAAAACCTGTTCAGATTAAAAATTGTTGACTAATAAAAATCATTTGACTAATAAAAGTCACAATATCATCATGACAGTCACGCACATCAAAACTTATCTGTCCTCCAACTGAAAATGTCAAGTTCAGATGAGCAAACTTCTCACGCAGGACAGAAACCATTTTTGGGCGTATGTTGTGAATCTGAGAACGCAGGATGCAAACTGTCAGAAAAAGGTGTATAACCAGCAGAATATCAATTTATGAAAACTCAATATAAGATATTATCCAAAATACATCACCTTGTCATACTTTTCAAATTCATCTCTTTCTTCTTGGCTACAGTTTCGACCAATTGGCGAAACATTCAGCATTCCGCTACGGAATTCTATAAATGTTCCCCTAAAAATATTATGTCATATGAGATCAACAGCTTCCTGTAAGTTGAATCAATATAAAATTATATAATCAGTCTCTAGATCTACTAACCTCTTGATAGGAATATCCAAGTCAGCAATGTAATGAAGTGTAAAATTTATAAATTCCTGCAAAATAGTCCCCAGTCTATCATTATAACAGCAAACTGAAATTAGTGAATTTAATGCACGAAGTCAAGGCTATAATCTCATTTACTCACTTGTTTTTCATCCTTAAGCACTTAGTTCAACTCATATTTCTGGCCATTTTGTCTAGTTATATGGTATCCTAATAATTTAAAATTGTAATAAATTTATTTACACCTCTCATCAATCCAGTTTCAGTTTTCCTAAGGTAAGATGCCTCAAGTGACCCAAACATAGCCTTACCTTGAGCTTTTCTTCTCCAAGAAATGACTTCAAGCTCTGGAAAGAAGGAGGTACACAAGTTAGCATGGTACACTAGAGGGAAAAAGATCATGTAAAAAAAAAAAAATTCTTTCTTTATTTTCTTTTTCTTTTGGGCGGGGAGTGTAAGAGTTTGCTAAGATCTGAAGTTCTCCAATTTCTAAAAAATTTGCTGACAATGCAACTTTCTATAACCATAGATGGCAGAAACATCCTCTATGTACTTAGCAAAAAGTTCAACATATCAGGATTCATTTTGTATAATCCTCACAATATAGCTCCACTTCTTTAAAAGGGGGGGAAAAAAAGAAAGAAAAAAAGATAAAGTGGCATGTGTTGTTTTCAATTATTCCATGAATCTGCTCAAATAAATCCGGAAACCGTCTTAGGAACCTGGGTCGCAATGAGTTTTCCCTCCTTGTGTGCCACAAGACCATTTTCAGAGAACACAAAATCATAGTCATCGATGACTGCAAAGACAAAAGTTGTGTTAAAAGACATGGTATGGCTATTTCCCTACTTTATGGATGGGGCAAGGAAGGAAAAAACAGACAGAATGGAAAGATCAAGCAAACGCAATATTTTCAGCCAATGAGCATTCAAAACTTTGGATTTCATTCAAACGCAGAGGCCTCTAAAATTTATAGCATGATGAAAGAAAAAAAATCAACTCACAGCAAACCTGTGTTTCCAAGCTGCTCAGATATCTTTACGAGATCAGATCCTCCCACGACTCCAACTGTCACAACCTGTACTCAGACATTACCAGATACAGAACATGTTAGAAAATATCTATTCTTGGCAGGATAGATGGGCATAGAAAAGGGATACACTTGAAAGTTTGAGAATTTCCAATTATGTACCTTCCGGAGTTCTCGCATGAATTTTGACATCTCTGGGGTGACCACCTTGCATTTGAGTTCAACATTTTAACCAGAGGTAACATAAGCCTAGACTTTCTAAAAGAATAAATTCATAGTCCTATATTTATTTGACAAACAAAAGTAGGGAGTCAAGAAAAAATCCAGCGATTAAGTTTTGTAATGAGCATTTTATAACATCAGATGACGACGGGGGGGAAAAAACAGATCTATCATAGAAACACATGAAGGTGCTGCATTGATATATCAGGCTGCTATACTTGTTATTAATCAAAGTCACGAACAATCTTGAGCTCCATATCAAATATATACCTTCCTTGGAGCTGTGAGAGTCCCATCGACATCAAATAAAGCAATTAAGCCGGGCGTCCGTGCAGCCATTAATGCTTATATAGTGCAAAGAACCTGCAAAACCAGCATATAATGAATTTTTCTCAACCTCTGAGTGAATATATCTTCAAAAGAGGAAAATCCACCACTTTTTGCACCGATCAATATACCTTCAAAGTTCAAAGACATTGATGCAAAACCAATAAGGAACTCAGAGATAACTCTGAACTTGGATCAGTAATCTCAAATTAATTAATCAATAGGAAAAAGATGAGTAATTTTAACACAAACAGAACTGCGGCTCAATCAAACTGACAATGGGTGGCAAAAATGGAGTCTGTGACAAATCTCAAGAGAATTCGGATTTTTGAAACCGATAAAAGCTACGTGTAGTAAGAGATGAATTCCCAAGTTACAGTTCAGCATTGCCCATCCTTCTCAGTAACTGACGGAAAGTCGAAAAAGGAAAGTAACAACAAATCTAGAAATCAATTACTCGTGGAGTTTTACAGCATTGCACGATCGAGCTCCCATTTTGGAGCCCGTTTAATGCAGAGCTGAAATCACGAATTAAACTTGCCTGGGCAGCCCAAACGAGAATCAAAGAAACCTTAGTGATTGAAACGTCAGATGCCGGAGCTTGGACTCGAAATTTGAAGCAGAACTTCAATGACGGGACTGAAGGAGTTCCTCGGGATTATGTAAAGTGGTTCAGATCTGTAAGGGAAAAGGATGGAAGACCTTTGAGCGGGGCCTAAGAAAAAGATAACAAGGATCAGCATTTTAAAATGGGGCTCGCAGCCGCCGGGGATCCACGAAAATGGACTCCCAGGTATTCCTCCTAGTCGGGTTTACAGAGATCCGATCCGATCGGATCGGATCGACTTGGCGACTGATTTTCTTGACTCACTGGACGAGATATTCAAGATTGCGGAGGGTATCTTCGCAGAAGCTACTTCCCCCTCATCAATCTTAACATCCTAGCCATCCAATTCATCGGAGCACTCACGGGGAGACATGTCAAAAGGTGTTAAAAGTGGAATATGAAACGTCTGATGGCTGCCTATATTTTATGCCTTTAAAACAATAAACCTTCGGCATTCTGCTAGCTGAAGTTGGCGAGAAAGCTTCACTCCTCACTCAAGGCCATCCGGTTCATCTTCATATCATATAAAATTGCAATATGAAGACCCAAACTATCTTTACAAGTGATTGAACCATCTCTTGCTGGCATGATAGAAAACCAAGACCGTAAGAAATATGAAGACAACAAAGCCAACAAAGGAGAATGGGACAATCCTATAAATATCAATCAATGCTTTTCCAAGGGAGAATGGGAGATGGGAAAAAAATAAATAAAGGCTTCATTGTAGTTTTAAGTCTTCCTAAGTTGTTAATAGCAGTAAACCAATTCCTTTTTTTTTCCCGGTTTAACAGCTCATAACAAGAGATCTGCTTCTCAACTTTGCAAGCGAGAGGGAATAACAACGTTTTATTGTCAAGCTCCCACATATACATAATACATTACAGTTCTAGCATAAATTGTCATCATCTTAAAATTCGACTGATGCAGCAAGAAGGCCTCGGCAGTTAATGAACCAGGAAAGAATAAACAATGAAGAAAACAGGGAGACAGTGGCAAAGAATAAGAACGCCTCTGCATTGATTGAATTGAACCTGTAAAGGCTTTAGTGTCCCCGGGCTCGGATTCGACATTGTGGTAACTCTGAGCTTCTGAGAATAGTTGGATGAGTGTCCCACCCCCAATGATTAAATTCTTGTCACTATGATGCTTAAGACTAAGAAAATAAACTGGCTTATTGATATAGGTCACAATCAAGTGGAGTAAAAATTCAAGTCACAGAACCACTTTTGAGAATGGATAAAGTTCAGTAGTCGACGAAGAAGCATCAAGAATGGGAAAAAAATTTAATTGAGTAAAGCAAGCATTCAGGAGTCAAATAATGAAAAGAATGATAGAAGAGGAGGGTGAAGAGAGGAAACCGGTGTAATCTGTAATGTAGATGCCAAACCATAGGTGATGACGGAATTCCTTGTTTGCGTCGCAGATGGGGTTGAATTTAGAAATGCTTTTAAAAATTTTTATAATAAATCAAGACAAATTTTTTTATATACTGTAAAATTATTTTTAAAATTATAGTTTGTTTTTAAATGGGTAGGATTCAAGGCTTGTGAGAGGCGAAGAAACCAGCCACCGAGAGAATCCGGACCCGAAAAATTGTGGGAAGGAAAAGTGTAACTGTAGCAGTACTGAATACAAGTAGAGATGAGGAAGACTGTGGACAGGAAGAATGACGGCTTGGGCAATTTCGGATAACTGGATAGGAACCCGAACGTGTTGGTGCCGTCAATCCGGAATCATAATTACGGTGCAAATTTCAGGGAGAATGAGAATGAATTAAGGACATATGAGCAAATTTAAAAATAAAGACTCATTCACAATTGAAGTTTTAAAATTTACAAATAAAATTTCGCCCTTTTTTTTTTGGATACAGAATAAAATTTCTCCCTTTACATCAAGTCTTTTAATATTATCTGCAGGAAACTGAAGCATAAGTTTTTCAAGAAAAATATTGATATAAAAATATTAATGTTATAAAAATAATTAGATGAATCTTACAGTTTAACATTTGGTTTTAATAAGCAATATTGCATAAAAATAGTTGTAAAAATAGTTTTTCTTTAATATGAACTAGCTTTGTTTTTATGATCACAGAAAAATCTTCAGTAAAAAAAGAAACATCGGAAGGAAGAAAATAAACTGGTGATATAAACATACCAATCAATGATATTTAAAATAATGTGTGAAGTGAAGACTGAATAAAGCAGCAGAGGGGATAGGATGCAGAGAAAAACCAGGAAAAAAGAGAACGACGTAGTAGTAGAGGGGGAAGCAAAGTACCGGTGAAGAAGCAGAGGATGATGGCTTCTCTACGCAAATTCTTGTTGGTCCTGCTCTGTGCCACTGCCAGCGTCCATTTGACATTTATGGGGGGACATAATTGAGTTCCACACGTCACGTATTTGCAAGTGAAGCTGTATTATTAGGCCAGAAAGCACACCGCTTGAGTAATTTGGGAGCATAAGGACATTAATGATCGAACCTTACCCACCGATTTTGGCTTTCATATCACATGCACCTTCCTCCAAACCTCCCTTCGTTGTCTCATTATTTAGCCTCTTTTGGCTCTTTCAAGTTTCATCTTTCGGTGATGACCAGTTTGCGTTTTTCCATTTTCCAGTTTAGGCGGTCATGCGCATTCTATCCCCTGAACTACTGAAACCGTAATCCCCTCTTGAATGAGACTCACAAATATGATAGATTCATACAATTATTTCAGCTCACATAACAGCTTATTAACTGCTTAGGTGAGGTTTTCCTTAATCTTTCTCACCAAGTTCTCCAATAAAATTATAGCACCCACACATATATTAATTTATACTCCTCCACATAAACTACTGTCTTATACTCGTGCTTGTGTGTGTCTCTTTCAAGTTTCCTCGGCTGTGTAGTTCTTGTCTGTCCCTTGAATGCATGGGGAGGATATCAGATGTCAAGTAAGTCAATTTGTGATCGAGAAAAAACTAATATATCACATTAAGGAAACTAATATATTACAGCTTTATGTGAATGAGCAATTTTTATAATCATTTGTATCAATTTCTACAAATACTCCTCCTGTCTTAAATATAAGATCTATTTTATAATATAAATTATACTATAAAATAGATCTTATATTTAGGACCTAAGGGAGTAATTTAGATTAAAACAGATATAATATCTATAAAATCAATCTTTATTGTTTTGCATGGGTAACTAAATAGAAGAGGAGGGAAGACTTTCGTGGGATAAAGTTAAAAATTTGGATAGGCTCAATTTTAGGCTAGTTTGAATAAAGTCCGAATATGAAAAGAGGCCTCAATACCTTTAGCCCCATCGATCCTAATCATTTGGGCTAATGGCGTGCGCATTAACATGAATTATTCTTTGTTTAACCTTTTTCAAAGTAAAGTTGATTAATTAAAAGACTAAGGTGCACCCAGTGTCTTAAAATAATTTTCAGTACATCCAGTATTCCAAACTAATTAAAATGGTGCATCCATATCTTATGCTAATAGAAAAGTTAAGTTTGACCGTTACCTTGCTGACTCAGCCAAATGTTGACCCAAAAATCCTACATGACGGACACGTAGGCGTTTGATGTGTATTATTTTGACGGGTTAAGGTGTACCTAACACCCCGAACTATTTTTTCAGGTGTGCCCAGTGTCTTAAAGTAATTTTTGGTGCATACAGTATCCCAAACTAATTAAAACGATGCGTTCATATCTCAAACTAACAAAAAAGTTAAGTTTGACCGTTACGTTGTTGACTCAGCCAAAGGTTAACTGAAAAATCCTACATGGTGGACACGCAGGCGTCTGATGTGTATTATTTTGACTGAAGCTCTTGAGTCGAACCTGGTGGCGGCAGGTGTTTTCTTGGGAGGCGATGGCGACGACGATGGCGACGGAGTGACCAAGGGGAAGTTTACTATGTTCTACGAGGAGGAAAGCAAATACGAGTTAGATGAGGAGTTGACAGAGACAGAAACGGAAGTGTGTTGTGACGACAGTTGCGGTTTCAAATCGGAGTGATGGAAGAAATGGGATAAAATGTTAAGGATGAGGATGTGATTGAATGGGTCGTACATGTACCAGGATTTAAGTGGATCGGTGGTCTTTCTTTTTTTTAAGTTTAAAAACTGGAAGAAGATAAACATTAGAAGAGAAGGAAATAAATCAAATTTTTAGTCAAAATAATACACATTAGACGCTTGTGCGTATGTCATATAGGATTTTTCGATCAACCTTCAACTGAATCAGTAAGGTAACGGTCAAACTTAACTTTTTTGTTAGTCTGGGATATAGACACACTTTTTTAATTAATTTGGGACATAGGATGTACCAAAAATTACTTTAGGACACTAGGCGCACTTGAAAAAATAGTTTGGGGTGTTGGACGCACCTTAACCTGTCAAAATAATACACATCAGAAGCTAACGTGTCCGTCATGTAGAATTTTTCGGTCAACCTTTGGCTGAGTCAACAAGATAATGGTCAAACTTAATTTTTCTGTTAGCCTGGGATATGGATGCACCGCTTTAATTAGTTTGGGACATTGGATGAACTGAAAATTACTTTAAGACACTGGACGCACCTGAAAAAATAATTCAGAGTGTTGGGCGCACCTTAACCCTTAATTAAATATACAAATATAAATGAAGAGGTGAACGACAGTGATCCAATATGAACAAATAAGCATCAAAAAAGTTAGTTCTTTTATTATTTTCATTATAAAAATATTTCAAAAAATAAACACAGGGAATGGCCCTAAATAAATACAGACCTGCATATTAATTATTTTCTTCAAGGACAATTCGGGCTAGCCCAGGCTGGACGCAAGCTTCTAGCTCTGCCCAAATATAATGGGGGCATGTCCCTGCAATTCAATAAGTCTATTGGAGTCTTTTTTTGGTGCCTAACAGGTTGTCCCCCCTTCATTAGAATCGAAAAAATTAGGTTTGAATCCTAAACTTCTACCCACGAGTCACATGTTATCCGATTTTTACTACCTGAATGCTATTTTTGCCTATTATTAACACTGGTTTTTTGTATTGACTTGCAGGTTCTAAGAAGACGACTTTGCAAAGCGGAAGCGAGACTTTGTTTCACCCAAAATAAAAGATGATTTGTATATCAGATGCGGAAAACCAAGTTAAAACAATGACCAAGACGGGTTATTACATGAAAATATTGGGTTTTGAGCATGTGGCAATGAGTAAAGAAAGATTAATAGAAAATGACAGTGTTTGATCAAAATGGCTTCTCTTCACTTCTATAGAAAAAGAGCCCAGAAGGAGCAGCGTTGGGCAGCAAGGCCAACCTCACAACAACTTCAGCACCTTCATCAGGAGATAGCACTCCACAACTTTTGGTCATATC